AGGCGATGACGACAGAGTCAAGTCAACTGACAAAAGCAATCACCATCACATCAGGAGAACTCAGAATTATGTACATAACAATGGGGGAAGAGAGCTTCACAACATGAAAGCCATCCAATGTGCATAAACACATCACATATCCAGTCTCAAAACTATAAAACCAAAGGGGCTGCTTGCATAGATACAAAAGGATGTCTGATTGGAGATGCGCATATGGCAATTTAATTGTTGAGAAGGAAAAAAGGGGAGGGGGAAAGGAAAGTATGCATCCACATGACTCACTTGACTCTATCAACTCATGAATCCCATGATCATCTATCTATGAAGGACAATCCACACAGAACATTCCTCAATTTCTTAAAAAAAAAAAAACTTGTCACAATATAAAGGTCTTTGTAGAGAGGAGAAAGATGAATAATGCATTCATATTGCAATCTGCCCCAAAACTTGCAATACAGATTTCAACTTGACAAAAGGAAATTGCATGAAGAGTTGAAATATTCAAATTTGGCTCAAGAGCTTGGCAAAGCACTCCCACATTCTGTATCCCTGCAGCCCCGCTCCCTCAAATGATTCTTAGAAACAAATTCAATTGAATTAGTTGGGTTCACAATTGGGATTTGTCAGAAGAATGCTTATGGAAATCCCAGAAGTGCTTAAGAATGATTACATTCTTTTTTTTCTTTCACACATTGCATCAAGAATGTGCTACCCAGCCATTCATGAAGAATGTATTTGCTTGGTTTTCCTGGCTCAGGAAGAGGGCTTTTCAAAACTTGGTGCGTTCAACTTCCATGAGAAAATTCAAATGAGAGAGGAAATATCGAGTCTTTTATCTCTTGCATATGATCTGATCTAGTCTCACAATCTAGCTGATCCTTTGATTTGTTTCATTTAATTCAGGACTTGAATAAGATTCAACCAGCTCATACATGGAGATTCCAATACATAGTTGTTCATAAGAATCGTCATACTTTATCTTACATTTGTTTTGTTTTCTTTCAGATTGAAGGAAGAAACACGGGGAAGAAATCTTGGGAAATAAAATGAAGAAACTAAGGTTGTTCATGTGTGTGTTTTTTTAGAGAAATCCATCCTCAGGAAATCTGTTTTCTATTTAATTCATTCCACAGATTGAAACACAAGCTTTCCAGAAGCTTGCTGATCAAAAAAGTCATTTTGGTTGGATATGCATCAGCATCAGTGATGAGAACCAAGCAGAAATCCTGAGTGGAGAGAAAGATAAGCAAAAATGTGTGGAGGAGAAGACTTACTGGACCGGATGGTTTCTGCGAAACATTACTTGGATCGTTAGCTGATGATTCTTTGGGTCCAGAAGAAGACTTGCTGGCTTCGGTGAGAGCTTTCCAAGCCTCCTGTGAGGCGATCGTCCCTCTCAATCCACCGAGAGCCGGGAATTCTCCCAAGTTCCGTTGGGAAACTTGAAAGCTGAAGTATCTTGATGATTCGGTGTCTGGAGATCATAGGAAGACTCAAACGCATGATCGTGAGCTTTTGCAAAGAAAAAAAAAAGGAATCTAGGATTAACTTCGACTGACCAGCTGCGCTTTTCAGTTCTCTCTTTTCCAACAGTTGCTGCTCAAAGAGAGACCGGCGGACAAGTCCCCTCCTAGCAAGGTTGACAGTTGCATCGGCGTTCACCGAATCCTTTTCGCTTGACGGGGGATCCTGGGGTGTGTGCTTTACGTCAACGCTCTCATGAATGAGGGGCAAGTGATCTGATTCCTTGGATTCAGTTACAGAAGCCAACAGGGCCCGATTATTCTTTATAGCTTGTTGTAATGGGTTCACTTGAAGGGCAGGATTGATCCCTTCTTTCTGTTGAACATTCGGATTATCGATAAACGATAACGCTTTTCGGTTCCTAGTCGGAAGCACATTATTACTCTGGGTAATTCTACTCCCCGTCGTCGTGAACACCTTTCCTGCTAGGTCGTTTCCTCCTAAGCCGGGGAAATTGCCATGTAAGTCGATGTCCCTCTTGGACAAGTGGTCTGTAGAAAAGTCAAACACACGGAATGAGCTCTCTCGCCTTACTAGATATCTACTTCCTTTTTTTTTGTTGGTGATCACCACTCTAAGGATTACTCACGGGTAGCACTACTCTTGATCTCCTCATTGACATCGTTTCCTTCGAGATGTGAATCGTTAGCTAGGCCGCTCGCGAGGACACCGAAAAGAATATTCCAAAGCAAAATCGCTTTCATCTTCTGACGATTCAGTCTTCGCACCAGGAACAATCGAAAGGATACAAGGTAGAAGGCGTGCTCCACAAAATCCTGCGCCGAAAGACGATGGCCCCAAGTTGGCAGGCGGTTCTGAGAGAAACGAGAGCAGAGTGTTGTTCGGGACTGGGGTTCGGGAGCTTTTGCAACCAAAAGAAAGAAAGGAAGAAGAACTTTATCTGAGAATCTCTCAGTCTTCCAGTCTGAATTGTCTATTGAAAATGTATGATACTGGAGTGGAAATCACCTGGTAAACTGAGGCTCGAAAGATTAAAAAAAGAACATTGGTATGTCCTCTGACGCTAGGATTAAATGAATATATATAGTGTGTTGGTTGTTAAACGGCAAGAGCACCACGGCGGGTGAGAGAAGTACATATAAATGGCAGCCGAACCCCTGATGAATGAACTTGTGAACAAAGTCGAGTATGTGTTTGAGTGGTTGTTAATAACAACTTGGCTATTAGTGATATTACTATTACCCCTCTTCGGTTTCCTTGCAGCATATGAGCAAGAATCACAATTTTGTCGTTGAGATGCCCCTCCTCCATCACTAATGAACCCCGACGTCCACCTTGTTTACGGAGACACAAATATTTCTGAATCCACAAATTATATCCAACATCCAAAACGAGACCTAACACAGCTGGTGATATTATCTACATCATGCCCCTCGGGAAGCGGGGTTGATACCGGATGTTGCTCGATGAAAGGGTTTCCATCGTCTGGAACGGAGAACTTTACCAGCGTGATCTCTTATCATGAGCAAAAGCATATTGTGCTCAACTTGAGACGCAACACGGCCCACCTGCTCTTCATGATCACCGGGTTCAATAACCTCTCCGGATCCATTACAAACTGTTAAAACTCCCGAGTCGCTCCGACCATGAATTGGTTGCCTTGTTTGATTTTTTGAAAGCTTTTCCGTTTGCAGGGGTTCCAGATTGTCAATATAATATATGCTTGCAATATGTACACATGATAGTTTTCATCTGATGATGTCAAGTAGTGTCTCGCCAGCTGATTGCAATGCCACGTCCCCTCAAATATATTCTAATGTGATCACTGAAAAAAACGACCTCATTAACCCTGAGCTAAACAAAAATGCCGCCTACAAATCTCCTTCCTTTATTCGACAATCAATTTATAGCATATTCCTGGTAAATGATGAAGCCATATTAACCTGAGATATTTTTTTTCTCCTAATGACACAGTGCTATGTACAATGTGGAGGATCATCGGGGGATAAGACTTGTAGAGGATTAAGATGAACAGCGATGCCAAAACTACACCAAAATACCAGGAACATCAGCTGGAGGGTTGACTCACGTTGACTCCATATGTCCAGCAAACTAAATATGTTCTTGCAATGCCAGGTAGCATACACGCCAGTCACAAAGGAAACTTCTTATGTCTTGTTATAGGGTTTAAGGTTCCCATTAACCTAGTTCTCAAATTATGAGAGATAGACCATTCATGAAGTCCTCACTTAGGGAAGTTGGAACCCCCCCCCCCCTGGATATTCTTTCCCTCTCTCAACAACATAAACAAAACAGGAAAAAAAATCTGACTTGTGAGCATCCCCAACTGGAATAAAAAACCAGCTTGGAAATTAGGGATGTTCACACCCTCATCACCCTGTCATCATACATTAATCACAAAAAAAACTGTAGAGAACATGGATGTGAGTCTGAAGAGGATGCGTGTACCAAATATGATTGCTAAGTAAACCTGTGGACATGCTGAGGTCAGAGTGGAGTCTGGACTCATTGGGTTAGCAACCCGTGGTGGAGATGCTTTGACATGTTCCTGCATCACTTACTGTTTTTGAAACCTCTTGAATGGGTGGTTGAGACGCCTCCACGTACGTCCCCATGACTGCAGGTTAGTATGTCGTGCCACAACGTTCCACAGCGTCGGGCGTGACCCCACCGCCCCCGCCCCAAGAGCGCTGTCTGAGTTCGCGAACTTGAGCTGCTGTGTCCGCGTTGGCGTGCCGATGAATGCCTGTGGGCTTTCGGATGAAGGTCACGGGTCATATGTAGTCTAATTAATCCGTCTTGAAGGAATGGCGGCCAGGGTTGCCGAGACCTTCGGAGAAATCTCGCCCCCTCTTCAGAATCAAATCAGAAGAAGTTTTTGCTTAGAAAATGTCTCCCTTGTTTTGTTGCATGTATCTTGGACTATCGGTAGTCTGGTCAGCAAGTTTGGAAGACTGAGAGGTGCACTTGGAGGCAGGGCGTTTAACCGAAAGGCAGTGATAACAACCACTGCCCGTGGCTTGATTACGAGAGTTGAATTGCTTGGCGTGATCACAATCTTCGGTTCCCTCGAGAGAGCACAAGTTGGGAGGGTGAAGCTTGATCTGAGGCAGACACAAAATTTTCAACTCAAAAGGCGATCACGATTGGTAAGTCCCTAACCCGTCTACCTCTCACGGAATCACACATATACTTCTCTTGCTTTACCGCCGGCCCGTTAAGTAAAACGAAGCTACATCGCTATCAATCAACATCTTCTTCCTGTACCTTTTTTTGCTTCCTTCCTCTCCAATTATCAAGTCGATTGGAGTTCATTTCGCAGCTCCGCCAATATCATATAGGAGCTTACTTTCTTCGCGTGGCTTCAGCTGGTAATTGGCCCTGCTCCCTGTCCTGTCAAGCAAGCACTCAGATTGACCTACAGATGCCATGTTTTGTTTTTATCCAGGACCTACAAACCCGACAAGATGAAGATTCAATTTCTCTACGTTTTACTCACTGTGGTGGCCTTTCTTGCCCTTGGTAAGGCCAAACACTTCTCTTCTCTTGCCTTCCCTATCTATCGCCGACCCTTCAAAAGTCATTATTCAGAACAAATCTGTTAATTATGTGCCTTATCTGCCTTTGTTCAGTCGACGAATTGGAAGCCGCGCCAGCACCATGGTCCTTTAAGAAAGGGTGGGATTGGGTTAAACGCCGTGGCCATGAAGTCAAAGATGACCTTGGATGGCATTAGAAATAACCACTTTTTCTCTTCTGCTTGAACGGCACGCTGCCTAGAAGGACATTTTTTCTTTCTTCCCCCTTAGCAAGGCTTTATGATACCATCAACATTTGACTTCAATGTTTTTTTAGAACAATTCTACTCTTGTACCACACATACTATTACAACATGCACAAATGATAGACAATTTACTTTTCTGCTCCTTTTTCAAACTGAGAGGTTTAACTTCTTGGGATCTAGTATTGTGCCAGATTCAAACAAAGAGTGATACTAGTTTTGGTCGGAGGACTCGGTTCCAGGATTAAAGTGATGTTCAATCAGAAAAGATGAGAAAAGGATGGATAACCCTGATGCAAAAATCAGGATTAAATTAATAATAATAATTAGAGCAACACTGAGAAACAAAAACACATTGGGACTACCCACCTCCCATAAGAACGATTTGACTTGTGTTCAGCTTATTACATTTGCTGGCAGGAGCTAAATAAACCGGATAAATGAAATATTTTCCAAATTTCATAGATCTAATATGAGTGGATGACTTCCCGTCACTGTTTACAACCCTCCCAGAATTTAATTTACACCCCCTGGATCTTAATTTTTTTTTATAATTTTTTTTTTCACAAGCCTTGTGAAGATAGATCTCATGTGAGCTGGTTGGTATTATGATTGAGGTGTTAATTTAGGACTGGGGAGGGCTTAGAGCATCTTCACCACGGTCCCTAAATCGGGTCCCAAAAACCTTACATTTGGGGACCGCACTACCAGCTATACGGACCCAAGGTGCTGCGGCACACACCGCGGGTCCCAAGTTGGCCATCAATTGGGTCGCTATCTGCTCCCCGCCCTCCCCCCAGCTTTTGACAAGATCGAGGCCAAGATTGATTTATAATATCATGAAACAAGCTATACTATTCAAGGCTAAACAAGGACAAAATAGAACCCGAGACATAGACAAAAGGAAAAAAAAAGCGATGAAAAGCAGCAGGATTGGTGGTATTTGCGGCGGGATGGGCAGTAATATTGTTGGCAGTATTGGCAGCTCTTTTGCCTTGTGGTTTTGCCAACTTCTTGGTTGGTTGTTGACCTTGAACAATGGTAATTTCTGAAGAGTTGGGAGCTTGGACAACTGAGATTTTGAATAAGAGACTCGGATCCAGAACAGGTTGGGACACAGTTGTTGCCATGGAGAGCTGTTGGTTTTTGGGTACGGCCATTGTGATGGCTGGGTTGGTAGATGGGTTGGCTGATGTGTCCAGAATAGAAGATAGGGGGTATCGGGGGAGGTGGAGTTGTAGAAGGAGGGGTGTTTCACAGAGGAAACACACAAGTTGTGTGTGATCCTCATTGATTTCAGTGTCCCTAGCCAATCCCGATTTCCCTGGATCCAGGGTCTGGAGAGGGAACGAGGAGGAGATCCGTAAAATACGGACTCCAATAGGGACTGCGGTGGGAGATGTTTTTGGGCCCGGGGTCCCTAAATGCAGGATAGGGCCTGCGGTGGAGATGATCTTAAAAAGCACTCTAAATGGTGACAGGAAGTCCTCCAGTAATTTCAATTGAACCTGATCAATAAGTTCTCATCCTCTTTTCAATTGGCTTCATATCAGATAGAAGACGGTGATCTGATACTGTTAATTTCAAATCTCCTGTTTCTTTTTTTTTCTTCAATTTGATTGTCACCCAAAGTGTCAAGTGGGTAGCACCATTACCACAGGTTTTTGTTCTTGAGGTAAGAGTTTATAGTAGATTTCTGGGATCCTTGACTTCCCATAGCCTGTACCGGCCAGAAGAAAAGTGTTTCTTCCTTGTACCAGGTTAGCTACAGTCTGGATTTGAAGGGTCTTTGCCTCTTGTCCATTGTAGAAGTCGGCCGCTTTGTTTGCAATTTCTATCTTTAATAAATCATTGCTCACCCGCAATAATTTCTTGGTAACTGTGACACTGCCACCAGAGGTTTGTTGAGTTTTCTTGATCTTTGGATGAGTCTTTGGTGGGCTCTTCCGACCACTTTTTTGAGGACTTTGAGTTTGATTTGTTTTGGAGACAGACCTTTTCAGAGGATCAATGAGTACATACGTTAAATTATCTTCCAGCTTGCTCTCCAAGCCAAACAACTGTGAAGCTGGAGGAACCCAATGTCTTGATCCAGACTCCATATGTCAATAGGATACAGAACTGTGAGAATGTTTGCAAGAAACATGAGATGCTGCCTGATCTGTAACTCAGATTATCTGATAGCTGCCTAAAGCTTATATGAAAGCTGTTGCAAGAGGCAAGGTGCAGAGGCCATCTTTGGAGCTATTGCCACATGCTTTGGGATAAGGTTTGCCCACATACAAGGCTACATTTTTACCAAATCAGAATTTGATATACCTTGAGCTGTATTTTAAAAAAAAGATCTAGTAAAAAAACCATTTTTTGAATGGATAACTTAAACTCCTTGCGCCTTGAGGGTGACATATGAAGGTAAGCCTCTCCTTTGGAGACGCTTTGTGTCCCCTCCGGAGAGGCTTAGTTAAGCTCTCTCCTTTGGAGGGTCCCTGCGGGATGGCATCCCCCCTCCAAATAAAGGAGGGACTTTAGATCAATGCATATAATAGAGATGGCCGTGCCGCATCCGCATATCTCCTCCATTTTTTAGCGGATTTGGACATCTGCATCTGCTGGCGGGTATCCAGCGGCCGCAGCGGGTATCTGAGCGGGTATCCACGGATTACCACACTTTAAATGGCCGGCAAGGCACGTCTCCTGCTGGAAGGGAAACTATTCCAGCCGGTGAGGTACAGGCCTTGTAAATCATACATTTTTAGTTAGTAACCTTCATTGTTTCCCAAAAATTCCATACATTACAGGTGAGTAACATTTTGCCCAAAAATACCCATTTGTACATTTTTGGTGAGTATCATTTATGGTCTTCAAAGTTGAAATGCATGAGATTATAATGCATATTTTTTTGGCGGGAGTTTCTCCCACTTTATGATATCATCAAGTGGGAAACTCCCGCTAGAAAAAAATATGCATTATAATCTCATGCAATCTATGATTTCATGCATTTCAACTTTCATGAAGACCATAATTTTGGGTCTTTGTAAAAAAAATCATACACTTTGGTTTCTGACATTTATAGGGGGTTTCCTGGCTCCTGAGCCATTGCTAAAAGGCTTTTGAAAAAAAAAAAAAGTTTATTTGACCAAAAATTTAGCTCTAAGAGGTGTCAATTGACCACTGGGAGGGTTGGAGATTGCCACAGGAAGTCATATGCAGCACCCAAATATCCAATGTCCCTGGACAAACGTTGCAGTGGCTGTTCTGACTCAAAATCTTATCTGGACTTCTCATCTACAAGTCCATCTCCACATTCCTCCGACTTGATAGGGGGCCATCATGTTTTTTTTTTTTCAAGTTTTTGGCCTTTTGATATGAATTTTGTAGGCATTGGATGTCAGATTAGATGTTTGAGGACCCCGGAAAGCCCCCTAATAGGAGGGTGTTGAAAAAGGTATAGAAAATGGCAAAAAAGCCAAAATCATACTCTTGAAATGGGTATGAATTTGTGATTTTTGTCAAAATGGCTCATGAAAGAGGCCATATTAGGTATGTGAACCTGGTTTAAACCAATCAAATCTTGGTATTTGGCCCCAGATTGGACATTTTACCGGGGGCTACCCTTTTTTTAGGGGATTTTAGCCTGAGCATACTCTTGAAAAGGTATTAATTTTCCAAAAAAAGCGACTCCCCGCGGGGCCCCCGGCTATGAATTTTGCCAAAATTTGGACTTTTTCAACACCCCCCTATCCTAGGGCTTGCCGGGGTCCTGATGTTTGCTGTTCGGGCAGTTTTTTTTTTTTCGAGATCAGCAACAACTGAAGATCAGTTCTTGACCATCTGATCATGGAGAAGTCCTGGAAGATCCAAAGAGATGGGACTATGCATTTATCTGAGCCTTAAATACATAGCCTCTCCCACCCTTATCAGCCAGTATCTGACGGAAGGAAACCCGTCGATGAAACAGTATGGCTTTACAGGGTTTCTGACTTGCACATGGCCTTACACAGATTCGAACGCTGAAAGACTGGTACTTAATAAGCCACCGGTTTCCCTTCAAAACCCAAACCAATCCACAAAAAAGAAAAACCAAGCCAACGAAAACGAAAACCATCCCAAAAACCAACCAACAAACCATCAGAAACAAGAAGAAGAAGAAGAAAACAACACCCCATCATACGGAAGAACCAACCTCTCGAAGGGACTACATACCATGTCCTCTGATACCAGTGACATCGAGTTGGAGTATGATAGCACCGAAGGCTACGAAGAAGATGAAGATGGTAAGTGAGATAGATCATCTTCCCCTTGCATGCACTCCTACTCGAGCTTCACATGCATAACTAACCCGACACACACATCCTGCTCTCTCTGTCCGACCGGCTCATATACAGCCATCGACCTGGACTCCAACGACCCATCCTCAGACGACGATGCCGATGGCTCCTCTAGCTTCAACATGGTCCCCATCGCTACTCAACCCACTAAACCATCCTACCAAGTCGAATATAACGTCCTCGATGAGTCCGAACTCACTCAACGTCAGGTCAAGGAAATCGAACATATCGCCGGAATCATCGGCATCCAGGGCAAGGATGCCGCTTTGGTGCTCAGATACTTCGGATGGAATAAAGACCTTCTCATGGAACGATACATGGTGACTTGACCTCTTTTTCTTGGCATTCTATCTTCTTTGACTTGGTAACTAATTTGTTGCTTTTTGTTTTTGTTTTACGATAGGATTCACCAGAGAAAGTATTTCGAGATGTGGGGATAAGGACGGATGTCGAGCTCAACAAGCCATCAACATCTACCAAACGACGGACCCGGTCGACGCCCCAATTTGAGTGTCAGATCTGTTTTAACGACGAGCCTGATCAGGAGACGGTATATCTGCCCTCCTGTCCGCCCTTACAGAAAGACCAAAAGGGAGCCGGGAATACACAGTCGGCGAAGCATGAATTCTGTCGAGACTGTTACACGTCCTATGTGGAGGCGAAGATCAAGGAGGGCGAGTCACGGACGATCGAGTGCATGGAGTCGGAGTGCAAACAGATCGTCGACGAGAACACGATCGTCAATCTGCTCGTCGCCCGCGATGCGCTCCTCCCCGAGCCCGACAAACTCATGGCCCGCTTCCAAACCCTACTCAATCGCACCTTCGTCGACGATAATCCCGCACTCAAGTTCTGTCCCGCCCCCAACTGCATCTACACCATCGAGTGTCATGTCTCTAAGAAGAGTCTCGACACCGTCGTCCCTAGTGTCACCTGTCTCTGTGGTCAAAGGTACCCCCTCAACCCATTTTCGTTTCACAAAAAAAAGATAGCTTCTCTAATCATTTTCTTTTTTTTTCCCCGTCTAGATTTTGTTTCGGTTGTTCATTGGCAGACCATCAGCCCTGCATCTGTCCAATTGTCAAACTTTGGTTACAGAAATGTGAGGATGACAGTGAGACGGCGAACTGGATCTCAGCAAACACGAAAGAATGCACAAAGTGTCATTCGACGATTGAGAAGAACGGAGGCTGTAACGTAAGCCCCTCCATCACCAAAATCTTCAATGTGGCTTCAAATCTTAACTATTTCTTCTCTTCCCCCGTTGATTCTTTGGTTTCTCCTTGCAGCATATGACTTGTAAGAAGTGCAAACACGAGTTCTGTTGGGTCTGTACGGGCGTCTGGGCCGATCATGGGACGGCTTGGTATTCCTGTAATAGATACGAAGAGCGCGACGAGGTGGGGAAAGATCAACAATCCAAGTCTAGAGCTTCCCTTGAAAGATACTTACATGTAAGCTCCCTCCATTCTTTTTACATGGCATTATACTCATTCCTCTACCACTCAAGAGTCTCATGATCTCATCATTTTAATTTTTCCTCTTTTTTTCTTCTTTCTTTCTTTCCAATCCATGAACACACAAACCAAAGTACTACAACCGATTTGCAAACCATGAACAATCCTTACGACTAGACAAAGAGTTGCATGCGAAGACGGAGAAGAAGATGGAGGAGATCCAACAGGCCTCGAACCTGAGCTGGATCGAAGTGCAATTCCTCAATAAAGCTGTTGAGACCTTGAGTGTCTGTCGGACAACCCTGAAGTGGACGTATGCCATGGCGTTTTATCTTGAGAAGAATAACTTTACTGCGCTCTTTGAAGACAATCAACGGTTTGTCCTCCTTTTTTGAACCTCCCATCTTCCAATGCTCAAATCTAACTTTCTCCTCCTTTTTTTCCCTCTCTTTCTGGGACTGGATTGGATCGATAGCGATCTCGAACAAGCTGTCGAAGATCTTTCCGGGCTCCTAGAATCCCCAATCGAAGCCGACACGATCGCCGAGTTACGCCAAAAAGTCACCGACAAGACCGTTAGTATTTTTCCCAACTCAACTATTGTTAAGAGTATTTCGAAGTTGATACTTTTTTGGGGGGGTTGGGTGTCGATGGGTATGTAGGTTTATGTGCATAAGAGAAACGAAATCATGCTTGAAGAAACTGCCCGAGATTACCAAGACGGGCGAGTGTTCTGGAACAGTACGTCTCTCGTCCCCCCTTCCCTTCCCTTCCTAATCACTCTTATCCATCCTCTCTTTCCTCAAATCGATTTGACTGATCTCTTCTTACTTTTCCTTCCAAAAAATAATTGCGAAATCATCAAATAGCCAACTTCAAACTCTGAACAGTCTCGACCCTTCAACTCCCCCCTCTCCTTTTCTTCATTTCATCCCTTTCCAGGGTTTGACAAAAAAAATGAAGATTCAGTAACTGTGGTTTTTTTTTTTCAAGACGACAACGAAGAATAAGAACGGGCAAAGGGGGGCGAGGGGATGAAGATAGATGAGCAGACGCTTTTTGTTTCGGTACTTATAATAGCAAACCCTGTA